AGGGGAGAGGAGAGGAGAGGAGAGGAGAGGAGAGGAGAGGGAAGCTAGAAGGGGAGCAATACTGGGTGATTAAAAACAAGCTTTTTCAGCTAGGCATGGTGGCTCACACCTCTAAGTTCAAGCAAGAGGATTACAAGTTCCAGGCCAGCTAGGGCTACAGAGCATGAACCGGTCTAAATAAATAACTAGGAGAAGAGCAGCATCCGCAGCCACCGTGTGGGTGAGAGACGAGGAAGAGCCTGAACTGCTGAGCGGGGTGTGAGACAGGAAGCTTAACCTGATTTGGGATTTAATTCAGAAGCTGCCAGGAAAACTCCCTCACACTCAGGTTGGCATGTGTTCCTCTCCAGGCCTGCTTGTTGGTGTCTCCACACTGAGCTTCCCTGACACTGAGTGGCCCTGTCCCCCAGCGCTGCACAGACCTGGCTGTGTACGGCATCTTTCATCCCTTCAAATCCCTCTTGAACAGCTAAAAATATACTTGCTTTTCTTAGACAAGTATTCATTTTGTAGATTACATACCTTGGCAGGCAACCTTTTAAAATCTAATTTTTCAACTTTCCTTCCTCTGTAATGACTGGGAATTCTGATTCCAGCTAAGTTAGTAATTATGTGGTTTAGCTTTTATAATTCTTAATGACTACAACTGTAGGTGTATTCATAGTTCCGGAACAATTAAAAACTGACATTTTTATTGAATAAGGGAATCTGCTAAAAATCCTATTTCCTGGCCAGGAATATTTTGGGATCTAAGACATTCCATCATAGAAGTTTTGGGAGCCTGTACAAATGCTGGACAGGAACACCCCTTCATAAGGCCTTTGATTTAGTTGGGTTGATGGCATTAGGAGTCCCTGGGAGACTGAAATAGACTTTGGGATTGCTGTTGACCTGCATCCGAGGCCTGCCTGCCTGATGGCTGTGAGGCTCAGGTGGCAGTGGGATAAGCAGCAGGCCAGGTGGAGGCTCCCCCAGTCAAGCTCGTGTAGTGTTGGGCAGGTGTGCTCTGGGGTAATGGTAGGTGGCCAGATGTGCCACCTGAGAGGTTTTTGTTGGGTATTCTGATGCCTGTCACAGCTGGAGGCTCCTGGGCTCAGAACCTGTATCAACTGCTAGGGGAGGGCAGAGCATGCCAACTGGCCAATGGAGCTGGCGGGGGAGCTGGCGGCCTTTGTTATTGCTGTCATTAATGTGACGTTTTCTCCTCCCCTCCCATTCTCATTTTTGGACCTAGGGAAGACTTGGGGTTCAGATTTATATCTGAACAGGTCAGCCACCACCCTCCTATTAGTGCATTTTATTCAGAAGGTCTCAACCAAGACTTCATGTTCCACGGTTCCATCTACCCAAAGCTGAAGTTTTGGGGCAAGAGTGTCGAGGCAGAGCCCCGGGGGACCATCACACTGGAGCTTCTCAAGTGAGTGACAAGAGCAAGCAAGAGCAGGTCCTGCTCTGGCTGGGAGGAAGTTATGTCTCCATGTCTCATAAGGCTTCTTTCTGGGGAGATCCCTACCTTTGTGGACTGACAGACAGCCTTTCTTCTGCTAGACTTCCTGGTGAGGAGAGTTCCTCTGTCCACCAGTGTGGGTATAAGTCTCACATCCCTCTCCCACACTGACTGGAGCTACTCACTTTAGCCATCAACTACTGCTGTGTGACAACCCCAGACCCAACAGCACAGCACTGCTTAGCGTAGCTCCTTACCTCTAGGCTACACCTAGACTAACTGGCCCTGGGTCAGCAAGAACTCCATTCTCAGCCATAGACTCCCTCTCCAGTGGCTGTTCTCCTTCCTTAGTCAGAGGACCCTGTCGAGAGAGCAGCTAAGACAGGAGCAATAAAAGCTGCTCCTCAGCCATGTACACACATCTCTGCTTGCTGATGGTCACACAGGCATGTGTATTTGTACCTATGAAGTTGAATGCCTGGAGGTGAGGACCACTGGGGGCCCCTTTTAGAGGCTGTCCAGCCCAGCTCCCATCAGAGATACTCAGCCAGTAGCAAGTCTCCAGCATATGCTAGAGTTTGAAACCCACTGCAGCCCCCACAGCCCAGGGGTTCAGTGGCTCCAGTGGTCGTCTGTTAGGAGCCTGCTGTGAGGGAGCATCAGTGTCATGTTTGCTGGATACTGGATATCTGCCAGTTTTAAGAACTTAGGGGTGGCCGGATGGTAGTGGTGCACACCTTTAATCCCAGCACTTGGGAGGCAGAGGCAGGCAGATTACTCTGAGTTTGAGGCCAGCCTGGTCTACAGAGTGAGTTCCAGGACAGGCACCAAAGCTACACGGAGAAACCCTGTCTTGGAAAAAAAAAAAAAAAAAAAAAAAAGACTTAGGGGCAAACTGGGTCTAGTTGAGCACACCTTCAGTTCAGCACATGGGAGGCCAAAGCAGGTGGATCTCTCTGAATTTAAGGCCAAGCCTGGTCTACATAGTGAGCTCTAAGACAATCAGGGCTGCAAAGTGAGACCCTATCTTAAAAGTTCAACAACCAACAAAACTCTGTCTCTGTGCATCTGTCTCCCAGGAACACAAAGGCAGGCTCATGAGGGAGGTACCTGTGGTGAATGCCCAGCTGGCTGGGCCTGTCTCATGGTAGTCTGCTTGAGAGTTGAGGTGGGCAGAACTGATGGACTGCAAATGCTTTTGAAAAACGTTTGGGTTCTACCTGGGCCATTTGAGAATCCAGATATATGTCCTCTACTACCCTGTGTCAAGATGCTTTTGTACTTAGTCGTGACTCCTTGATGGAGCCTCCCATAGGTCCCACTGTGTATCATGCTGCGAGGTTTGCACTTGAGGTCATTTCAGAGGAGGGGGAGTTGGGTGTTAACCGCAGCAACCCTCTCCTGCACTGTGGGCTGGTACTAGGAGCGTAATTCTTACAAGCCTTTTCTCTTGGCAGCGTCACAGAAAAGCTGTCTCTCTTTTGTTTTAGTGTTCTTTTATTGCTTATTAACTTGTCTTGACATTTAAGTAGAAAGCTTTGTTGATGCTACAAAGGAAAGGAGAAATAAATTCCAGTTGCATGCTAACTAAATAGCCTGCACTGGGAAGACTTCAAAGCATTGTTTTGCTCCCAGACAGCTGTGGTCTGGTTTTGCCTGGTCATGGCCTTCTGGGTCACCCAAGTCCTGAGCTTCACTGCCCTGTCTTGTTCCTGGTGCTTTCACAGACATAATGAAGCCTACACGTGGACCAACCCCACCTGCTGTGTGCACAACATTATCCTTGGGCAGCTATGGATCGAACAGTATGGGGTAGTGGAGATCCTAAACCACAGGTGACAAGCCATGATGCACTTCCCGACCTAAAGGGAACTGTCTCTGTCTGCATTCTTCTCTCGGGGACATCTAGCCCTTTATTCCTGTCCCTCAGCTTCCCTCCTGTAGTGGGGCCCCAAGTCATGGTATCTGGCTAGATTTAGTTCTGTCTGGCATTGAAATAAGAACGCCCTGTGTTGATTGATTGATTTTTTTTATTACCATTGTTAATTTATTTGAAAATGTAAAGTGCACCTAAGTATTGTCAGTGCTAGGTGAAAATGTAGTAACTGTGCCCAAACATTATCAAGGGCCTAGACATACAGCTGGGAGCTATGACTCATTGGCTTGGCCTGTTAACACCTTAGTGAGAGATAATTTATAAATCATAGAATTCACCTATTTCCTAAATGGACACTGAAGTGATATTTTAGTAAATTACCCTAGTTGTACAGACAGTCACCCCAGGTCAGTCACAGAGCCTTTCAAGGAGCAAATTAACCATCGCTGATGGCCAAGTCCTTTTTCTCTTCCCCTGTAGCTCGGTTGGTTCTCTAGGTATTTTACATAAACTAACGCCTGTGTTTGTCCCCACAGAACTGGAGATAAGTGTGTCCTTCACTTCAAGCCCTGTGGACTATTCGGAAAGGAACTTCACAGAGTGGAAGGGTACATTCAAGACAAAAAGTAGGTCCACTCATTGATGCCCAGGGGTGTGGGTCTGCAGTGGCCAGTGCTGCGCCATGTGGTTGTGCGATGATGTCTTCTCATGGTGGAAGCAACGCTACCTTTTTTTTCTTTTCTTTTTTTAAAAGGTAAGTTTTGAGTGCAGTCTCTGGTAATGGCAGAGTGAAGCTTGTCCCCTTTGGAGAGAGAAGATAGGTCAGCCTAAGAAAATTGACATTTTTGCCAGGTGGTGTTGGCTCATGCCTTTAATCCCAGCACTCAGGAGGCAGTGACAAGTAGATTTCTGAGTTCAAGGCCAGCCTGGTCTACAGAGTGAGTTCCACGATGAAGAAATAAATTTTTACTCAGGGATAATGTGGCTTTTTTCCCCCACTTGTTTTGTTTTTTTGAGGCGGTCTTCCTGCACAGCTCAGGCTAGTATTGGTTTTATAATCCTGCATCCACCTCCCAAATGCTGGATTACAGCCTGTATCACCTTGCTGGGCTCCAGTTGCTATAGTTTTACAAACAGAATTGAGATTTTTTTAACACTTGACCCTGTGAGAAGCTACTCGTTATTTCTCAGTAGAGCATATGGGTGTCCACTGCTCATGGCCTGCATTTTCCACTCTGCAAATCCAGGCCTTGTGGAGAGTTGTTTTGTTTTTTGTTTTTCAAGACAGGGTTTCTCTGCAGCTTTGGAGCCTGTTGTTGAATTCGCTCTGTAGACCAGGAGGCTGACCTCGAACTCACAGAGATCAGTCTGTCTCTGCCTCCTGAGTGCTAGGATTAAAGGCTTGCGCCACCACCACCCAGCCTCCTGATGGAGATTTTTGTGTAGAAAAATAACCAGTAGGGTTTTGACACATTTTTTCAGATTTTCTCCCTTTGGTAAAATTATGTTCTGGGTCTCAAAATTCTATTTATCACCAACCCTCCTTCAGTAATATAATTCCAAAAGAGTCGGTTCTTTTGTTCTCTCTGCCTGTCTCTAGAGAACCAGAAACTCATCTGTTCAAACCTGTATATTAACGTCAGACTTTAGATTGAGACAAGTCAGGACCTCACATGTGTGCTGTAAAGGACATAGGCCTTATGATCAGAATAGTGACCAGGGGGCACAAGGCCTCTCTTGAGACTGGCTGATGATTTCAGCCAATGGGAGAGTCGTTATTTGACCTGTTGGTTTTGCTCCTGGACCCAAGCATGCTTTTTTTTTTCTTTTCCTTACCTTTCCTGTTCTTGTTGTTGTTTGTGTGGTGTATGCGCGTGTACATGTTTGTGCATATGTGTTGTGTGTATATGAGCATACATGTGGAAGCCAGAGGTCAATATTGGGTATCTTCCTCTGTTATCCTGTCTTTTATTTTTAAGACTGGGTCTCATTGAACCTGGAGATCCCTGATTTGGCTGGACTACCCGGTTAGCTGGTTCTGTATCTGCCCCAGTACAGGCGTAACGCCCAGCTTCATGTGGGTGGGTTCTAGGGGTCTGGATGTGGGTCCTCGTGCCTATGCAGCCAGTTCTCACTGGACCTCCCCTGCAGCCTGCACACAGGTGTCCTGTTGGGCCGCACTTCCCAAGGAGCATGTAGCCACCATGTGCTCTTCCCAGGCAGGAAAAAGGAGAAACCCTATCCTGAGGGGCTCCGATCTTGTTGGTGTGGGGCGGCACCTCTGGCTATGCTGTGCAGCTTTCCAGGGCTGTGGTTAGACGAAGGCAGGGACAGCCACAGAGAAAGCAAAGGCCATCATCAAGTGACTGGGGAGGCATTATGGGTAGATTGGATAGAAAAAGATTTGACGAACTCACAGTTCATCAAAACCCAGTGGTAGAGCACTTACCCCAGCAAAGTGTGGGCACATGCAACTCTCCGTTTAGGAGAATACGTTTGTGCTTTTTTTCCCTCCTTGTTTTCTAAGACCCTGAGGACTGTTTAGGCTTTTGTGCCTTCATTTTCTCTTTGGCATCAGGGATAGGGAGACTTTGTCTCTAACAGCATGAAGGAGGTTCTGATATACAAAGTTTCTTCTTTGTATCCCAGAATGTCCAGGACTTGGCAGAAGGGGAGCAACAGGTGGGCATTAAGTTCCTGCTCTGTAGATGACTGTTGACTGTTTCGCCCTCCTCCACTGCAGCAGGAAGAAGCTCTTCATCATTTACGGCAAGTGGACAGAATGCTTGTGGGGCATCGACCCTGTTTCATACGAGTCCTTTAAGAAGCATGAAAGGAGAAGTGAACACCCCAGGAAGGCCAAGATGGTGAGTGCCTGCTCCAGCTGACCCTGGTCAGACTGGGGCCTGAGGTAGGTAAGCCCTCCAGAAGTCTGGGTTCAGGTATGGGGGCAGAGGTGGGATTGACTTTTATTTCAGTTATGTTGTAGCTGTTTTTATAAGTGGGAAGCTTCCAAGGGAATGCAAACCCTTCCACATAGTCCTTTGTAATAAACCTCTCTTGTTTTGCCTGAGTTAACCTACTTAAGAAGTCAAGTGCATTTCATCTCTGTTTTTCAAGTTCTGAGTTCTCAGTAATATATTCAGCAGTCAGGAAGTACTTGCAAAGACTTATCCTCTAAGAATTCTGGAATGCTGGTGACTATGAGTTATTCTTAAGCAAAATTAAAATTAAAAGTCATAACTCAAGCCGGGTATTGTGGCATGTATCTCTAATCCCAGCACTTGGGAGGCAGAGGCAGGCAGGTATCTTGTTGAGTTTGAGGCCAGCCTGGTCCACAGAGTGAGTTTCAGGACAGCCAGGGATACACATAAGAAACCCTGATGGGGGAGGGGGGGCTCACCTGACGTGGCAGTACACTCAGGTGGCAAACACGGGGATTCCTGTGAGTCGCAGGGCATTCTGATCTACACGGCAAGCTCTAGGCTGTTCAGGCAGGGACTACATACTGAGATCGTGTCTAAACAAAGAAAGAAAAGGAAAGAAAAGAAAAGAAAAATTCCACTTAGAGTGATGAATCTGCTGAGTGGTGTTGGTGTCGTTTTCACCAACTTTACTGCTCCCATGGATCATCTCGCAGTGGGTGCCCACCCTCAGCTGTCTGAGGATCCCAAACTTCAATCCTGTGTCCCTGGTGTTCTCCTCAACAGCTGTGGCCCACAGCTGACTGTGTCTGTTAAAACGGAATGGACTTAAGAGCTTGCCCAGGAGAACTGCTTTCGGTTGGGCAGCAGATGGCATCATGAGGCCCTCTGTCTCAGATGATGTGTTGTGTGGAAGGAAGACAGGAACATGGCCAAGCATGTCTCTGTGAAAGCAGTGTGTATATCTGCTTCTGTTTCAGCCTGTTTCCCCTCTCTGTGAGAGAGTAGAGATCCAGATCCAGCCTGGCACAGCTCTACAGAAAGCAAAGGCTTGTGGAGGCAGGAGCCTGAGGCCTGATGACATTACCAACAGCAGAGAGTTTAATTATTTCTCCTCAGTGAGAAAAGCTTTGGCTTTGCACAGGGGCTTGGGAACAAGTCTTCCTGTGCTCTGAGGACAGGTCTCTGGCTAGTGTCATAGTGAGGTGTGCTGTGTTTCAGGATGATGGCCCTGAGAAAGCTAACAGTGAGATGCCTGGTGATACGACGGACAATGTTCCTGTGACTCAGGAGACCGTGCAAGTCATCCCTGGCAGTAAGCTACTCTGGAGGATCAACAGCCGGCCCCCCAACTCAGCTCAGGTCTGTGTCTTACACCTTAGCACCCCTCTCTGAGACCATGTCCTGTTTATACTGTCCCAGTCAGGCCCACAACTTTCTACCTTATTCTTGGATGTAGCCAACCAGCTGTTTCTTAGCAAAGAGGGAGGCTCCATCACATCCCCACAATCCTGAGGACCCTTTTTCCCTGGAGCTGCATGTGACTCTAATGTCATGGTCCAGCCTGAGAGTGACTTCTTCCTGCCGTAGTGACCATGTAGGACTTGGGAAAGTGTATGGAAATCCACCTGGCATCGATATCTTGATTCAGAACTCGTTGTTGTGTCTGTATGCCTGTGATATTAGTGTTCCCCATTCTCTATGCCGTCAGCTCTTCCTGATCACATTTCAATTGATTGGAGAGATGGCTTAGCCATGAAGCATGATCGCTACTCTTCCAGGAGACCTTAGTTCAGTTCACAACCACCTGTAACTCCAGCTCCAGGAGTGTGGGGGTCTCTGGGTACACTTGCACACACCCATACATAGATAATACATATACATACATGTAAGTGAAAAAAAAAAAAACAGCCAGGTGTGGCAGTGCATGCTTTTTAATCCTAGCACTGGGGAGGCAGAGGCAGGTGGATCCTCTAGTAGTCTGAGGCCAGCCTAGTCTACAAAATGAATGAGTTCCAGGACAACCAGAGCTACATAGTGACACCCTATCTCAAAAACCAAAATAAAGCTGGGTGGTGGTGGTGCATGCCTTTAATCCCAGCACTTGGGAGGCAGAGGCAGCCTGGTCTATAAGAGCTGGTTCCAGGACAGAAAAACCTTGTCTTGAAAAACAAAACAAAACAAAACAAAAAAATGAGGGGAGCTCTAGGGCTCGTGATGTAGCTTAGTAATGGAGTGCCTGGCATATACAAACAAGGCCCTAAATTGTAGTAAGCTTTGTCGTCAGACTTTCTGTGGACCACCAGCCTGCAAATAATGAAACAGAGACTTATTATTATGAAAGCTTGGCCTGGGGGCTGGAGAGATGGCTCAGAGGTTAAGAGAACTGTCTGCTCTTCCAAAGGTCCTGAGTTCAATTCCCAGCAACCACATGGTGGCTCACAACCATCTGTAATGAGGTCTGGTGCCCTCTTCTGGCCTGCAGGCATACACACAGAATATTGTATACATAATAAATAAATATAAAAAGAAAAAGAAAAAAAGAAAGCTTGGCCTTTAGCTTAGACTTGTTCCAAACCAGCTTTTGTAACTTAAATTAAGCCATTTCTATTAATGTATATTTGCCACGTGGCTTTTACCTCTTTCCCATTCTGTACATCCTACTTGCTCTGTGTCTCGCTGGCCTCTCTCATGCACAGATTCTTCCCAGGTTCGTTTCTTTCCCAGAAGTCCTGAATAACTTCTTCCTGCCTAGATACTGGCCATTCAGCTCTTTACTTTCATGGCCTGGACCTGGCCTCTCTGAGTGCCTGCAGCCTCCTCTGACCCCATGATTCAAATCTTGATTATTTATTTATTTATTTATTTATTTATTTATTTATTTTTATTTTATGTGCATTGGTGTTTTGCCTGCATGTATGTCTGTGTGAGGGTGTCAGATCTTGGAGTTACAGACAGTTGTTAGAACCAAATCTTAACCTGCTATGCCAGCCACCCTGTGGCTCTGCTAAGCACATGGTGCTGGTGACCGGCTCTGCCCACCCTCAGGTTGATGAGAGCCCAGCCTCATGCCCATGAGCCCCAGCCTGGACCCACATTTACCCGCCCCAGCTCTGGGAAGATTTTGAGTCTGCACAGCAGGTGTTTCTATTTAGTCTTCTGCCAGTCAGGTAGCCAGGTACTCTATGCTTGAATATACATCTTCAACACCAGATGTAGTAAGCCTTTTTTTTTTTTCCAATGGACTTTCTTTGGACCACCAGCCTGCAAATAATGATAGATACTTATTAATTATGAAGGATTGGCTTTAGTTTAGGTTCCCAACTAGCTCTTATAATTCAAATTAAGCTGTTTCTATTAATGTTCTGCCACGTGTCTTACCTCTCTCCTGGTCTGTACGTCCTACTTTGCATCTAGCTGACCTCTCTTTCGTGCCTAGATTCTTCCCAGGTTCTTCTTTTTCCCTGGAAGTCCCACCTAACCTCTTCCTGCCTAGCTATTGACCATTCAGCTCTTTATGAAACCAGACAGAAGGCATAAACATCTTCACAGTGTACAAAAAGATTATTCCACAACAGCCCTAAATTCTGTCCCTAGCAATATGCCAAAAAGATTTTTTTGGGCCAGTGACATGGCTCAGTGGGTAAGAGTGCTTGATCCCATACCTGACAACTTTAGTTTGATCCTTGGTACACGATACAAGGAGGAAATTAATTTACGAGTTGTCCTCTGATCTACATATATGCGCCCACACACATACACAGAATAAATGAATATAAAAAAACAGTGTCCCATTACATGTGGATATATTGCCTGTGTTTATTTAACTGCTTTTATTGCTGTGATTAAACACTGACCAAAACTAACGTGAGGAGGAAATGCTCACACTTTCAAGTAACAAACAGTCCTTTACTGGGGGCAGCCCAGGTAGGAGCTGAAAGGAGAGTCAGTGGAAGAGCGCTGCTCTCTGTTTATGTTCAGCTGCTTTCTTAGGCCTTCCGGGGGTGGGTCACACATCAGTAACTAATGAGGAAAATGCCACTGGGCTTGTCTACAGGCCATCCTAAGGAGGCATTTTCTCAGCTGATTCTAGCTTGTGTCCCAGTTGCCAAAATAAACAACAGCATCAACCCCTGCATGGCATACTCACCTTTACCGTCAAGAGATGAACTAGTGGAATGGTATTCTTCTAGTATATTTTTGGAAGAATAAAGCCCATGCGTTGTTCAGGAAATTTTATTTTAAGATGAACTCTTGTTCCTTTTTGGTTCAGTGTGCTGGTTTAGTCCTTCATGCCTACCAGGGGTTTGGTGGATCTGGGGTCCTGATCCTGGGATGGCAGAGTGTGCCCTTCTGGGAGCTCAGAGCAGGACGGCTGTGGTAACGGAGCAGGGTTCTAAAGAGAGCCAGGTGTGAGCTGTAGCCACCTGAGGACCATGATGGGGAGCCGGGACACATTTCTCATAGACCCCAGGTGCTAGGGAAGTCAAGCTTCGGGGATCCTGGCAATATCTGCTATTTTTTTGAGTGACGTAAGGGTGACCAGAGAAAATTTAACATTCCCTCTGGCCCTTGAGCCACATGCTCATAGATGAGGGCAGTAAAGGGAAGAGAAGATCAGCAGGAAGAGCCGAAGAGTCAGGCCTGGGAAGGCAGTAAAGCGTAGCAAAAGGCAGTCCTGCTTTAGGTGTGCTAAGCTACAATCTGACTAAACAGGTGGACACCTCTGAAGTCGGGATAAACACCTGTGCCATTTGAGTAGGACACGGGTGCCCTTTCATTGAGCAGGTGACAGTGACTGGTTATCATGGGTTTGGGGAATCCATGGATCAGGCCAAGACAGATGCATTATTTTCATGCAGCCTCTGCAACAGTGCTTCTGGTTTCTCCTACAGATGTATAACTTCACCAGCTTCACTGTGAGTCTCAATGAGCTGGAGTCAGGCATGGAGAAGACCCTGCCACCCACAGACTGCCGCCTCCGCCCTGACATTCGTGGGATGGAGAATGGCAACATGGGTAACTGCTGGTCCCTCCCCAAAGGGCTCGTGTGGGTGAGCTTAGGCTTTGTCTGTGAGAAGGATGCTCAGACCCTTCATTCAGACTAACAGAGTGTTGCCCTCTTAGAACAGTCCTTTACAGACCAGTGAAAGGTGGTGAACACACACCTGTTATGTCCCAGTACTTGGGAGGCTGAGGCAAGAGGATTAATATAAGCCCCAGGCCAGACCCAGCGACCCAGTGAAAACCTTGTCTCAAAACAGCAACAACAGAAAAGAAAATGAGTGAAAAAAATGAACAAATACAAATCCTAAGACATTATTTAATTCAATGGGTTAAATTTGCATTTTAAAAGCTGGGTGCATGGGCTGGAGAGATGGCTCAGAGGTTAATAGCACTGCCTTTTACTTCCAGAGGTCCTGAGTTCAATTCCCAGCACCTACATTGTGGCTTACAAACCATGTATAATGGGCTGCAGGCATACCTGCAGATAGAACACTGTATACTAAATAAATAAATAAATCTTATATATATAAAAAAAAAAGCTGGGTGCAGCTCGGAGGTAGAGCGCATTTCAGGACTGACTTCATGCTCTGCGATGCCCTTAACCTCTAAGCCATCTCTCCAGCCCCGACTTCTCACACTTTCTAATTAGGGTGGGACTGGTCCTCTAGGGGTCAAGATGGGTTCTGACATAACTGGAAGCTTTAAGTGCTTGCTTACTTGTTTGGACCTAGATCTGGCCAGCCAGGAGAAGGAGCGGCTGGAGGAAAAGCAGAGAGAGGCCCGAAAAGAACGCGCCAAAGAGGAGTCAGAGTGGCGGACCAGGTGAGTGTGCACAGTGAGGCCTTACACACCTGAGCAGTGGGAAGGCCACGCCCACATCATAGGCAGCACCGTTTCACCATTGTGGCTAAGTAGTTGTCCCACCACTGCTCCCAGAGTGCTGGCTGAACCGTGCAGTAAAGGCCAGCGTCCCGGTTAGCATTTATCTTGCTTACTGGGAGTTGGCTGTCACAGGAGACAGGTCACCTCACTCCCAGGCTTTGCTGCCCTGCTTCACAGCATATTTGGCCCAAAATGGTTTTCTCAGATATATGGCCAGTTTACAGACAGAATAGCATGGACCCAGCTGTTGACTTGCACGAGTGGTGAGAGTTTTGATGGTGTCCCCACATTTATACTTTGTGGTAAGGTTCTGCACAACTACACAGATCGCCTGCCCTACCCCCATGCAGTAGACTGCTAGGCTGCTGTGGCCTCAGGAAAACCTCTGTTTTGGGTATGGAGATGCAGCCTTGAGGTGGGCCCTCTGCCAGTGTAGGGGCTGCAGAGGGTGTGCTATGACTCATGGGCCTCCACCAGCTGCCAGGAGCTTCAGCCCTACTTCCTTCAGTAGTCAAAGTACTATAATAATTAGCGTAAGCAAGGTATGTACCTGTGTAAATGCGCATAGACATCATTAGTCTTTTGTAAAAATCTTTGGATGTTTAAACAGTTCCGTTCTTATCAGGCTGGTTGTTGTTGTTGTTTTTTTTTTTTTTAATTGAGAATAAAATATTATGTCTGTGTGTATGTCTGCAGGCCAGAAGAGGGCACCAGACCCCATTACAGATGGTTGTGAGCCACCATGTGGTTGCTGGGAATTGAACTCAGGACCTTTGGAAGAGCAGGCAATGCTCTTAACCTCTGAGCCATCTCTCCAGCCCCTTGTTTTTATTTTTAAGATGGGTTTCACTGTGGTCCATTCTTGAACTTAAGCTGCTCCCAATTTCAGGCTCCAGAGTAGCTATGGACTTGGGTAGTTGAGAGAGCAGGTGTGTGCCGCTGTGCCTGCTAGGCTCCATTCCTTGTGGTATTCATGTCTAGGTCATATTAACAGCCATCTCCCTAGTGACATGGGGCTGGGTTGGGTTTTTGTTGTTGTTTTTTCAAGACAGGGTTTCTCTGTGTAACTTTGGAGCCTGTCCTGGAACTCACTCTGTAGACCAGACTGGCCTCAAACTGACAGAGATTTGCCTACCTCTGCCTCCCTAGTGCTGAGATGAAAGGCATGTGCCACCACTGCCCGGCCAGGGCTGGAGTTTTAAAAAACAGTTTTTCTTGTGTCTTTTCCTCCATAGCTTCTCTGTTGTGATGATGAAACCTAGAGCTTTATGTGTTTGCCAGACACTCTACAATTGTGCCACTGTACCGAGCCAATTACTGATTTAATACTGTGCTTTTAATGACCATGGTTTTGGGATTTGTCTTTGTTCTAGAGGAAAACTGTTGAAAGTAATCTTCCTTCACTGGCCTTTTAAAGTATTAAAGACATAGCCCAGGTGCAGTGGCTTACATCACTAACTTTAACATTATGGAAGCTGAGGCAGGGGGATCGTGGGTTTGAGGCCAGCCCGAGTTCCAGGCAAGCCTGAGCTACATAATAAGACACTGTCTCTAGAAATAAGTAATTAAAAATAGATAATACAAGCCAGGCGATTGTGGTACTCTCTTTTAATCTCAGTACTCAGGAGGCAGAGGCAGGTGGATCTCTGTAAGTTCCAGGCCAAACTGGTCTACCGAGTGAATTCCAGGACAGCCAGGGCTACACAGAGAAATCCTATCTCAAAAAAATAAAAGTAAACAAACAAAATAATCCATTATGAAAATGATTTTTTTTTTTTACCATATTAGATGATTACTTCTACTTTTTTTCTTTATGGTTCGAGGGAGGAGAATCAGGGCTTTGCACATGGCAGGCAAATTGCTTGACCGCCGAGCTGTGAGACCAGCCCATCACTTCCTAGTGTACTGCTTCTGTTTGGGTGTGCAGCTGTAGGGGTGCAGACTGAACCTGGTGAGGGTCAGCTGGAGGGGCACCCTCTCCAGCCTCTGAACGTGGTCCTGTGGAGAGTTGAATGCTGGACGCAAACCTTAAGGTTTGTTGAGACACAGACATTGATGTGGTAGAGTGGGTGAGCACGGCCACGTGGAAGTCGGTCGGTTACTCTTGGTGACCGCGTTTCTCCATGGCACACACCTGCTGTGAAAAGACGAAGGACCCCGCATCTGGTGACCCTTCCTTGTGTTCTGCAGGTGGTTCTATCCAGGCAATAACCCCTACACAGGAACTCCTGACTGGCTGTACGCAGGGGATTACTTTGAGCGTAATTTCTCAGACTGCCCGGACATCTACTAAGTAAGGCCTGGGAGCCCAGGAGGAGGCCCACGAGGTTGGACTCCTTGAGTAGCACTCTGAGCTCCATGATGGCAGAACCAGCTTCTCCAGCCACAATCGTGGAGAGGGCCTCGAACCGGAAGGAGGACTTGTGTTAGCCTCTGCCCAACACTTTGCTATGTCACAGCCCCTTCAAGAAGCTCCACATGGGTCTTCACATTCACTGAGGCCTCAGAAGAACTCCCCAATCCTTTTCACACGTGACAGACGCGCACAAGGCCAGCTGAGCTGGCAGCACGCTCTGTTAAAATGTGTAACTAAGGAGGAACCAGCAGGGCCTGTGCTCCTCTCAGAGCTGTGGTGTGGGGTCTGGAAGAGTTTCAAACCCAGACCCAAAGGAGGGCGTGGATCCGCTTCGTTGTGGAGGACACCCACAGAATGAAGGGACAAGTTGCCAGATGTATTTTCTACCAATCAGAATAAGGTAAAGATTACTTTAGAAAATATTTAAACTACTTGAATGTTCCGCTTAAGAGTAGCAAATACATTAATCACCACTGTGTACTATCCAAAAAGTGTCCCTATGACAAGCCAGAGTGGCAGGAACACTGTGACTTGGATGAGAAACCCCCAGGGCTGCTCCCCGCCTACCAGGAGGCCCTGCCTCTGGCCACAGCACTCCATAGCTTCACCGTCACTGTGGGCCACTCCTGTGTTTGAGGGGTCATTCCTTCACTCACCTCGCCTGTGTGTTCCCTCCTCCCTCCCCTGCAGTCTTGTGTTTGGTTTCCCCAGCATGCATGTTCCAGTCCAGGCAAGTCCCATCCGGTTGTGTGCTGTGGGAGGTCAGAAGCAGGATCTACTTAGCCTGGTGTCATTAAAATTGTTTAAACACAAGTAGGTGTGCCCATCTCTGCACATTCCTGTGAAGTGAGGGACTTTATGTAGAAATGGTGGCACCAAGGACCACAGTGGAGCTCTTTGCATCAAAGACAATCTGCTGTGTGCACAACCTGTGCTCTGGCACACATGCACACTTGCGTGTTCTTCACTACATCAGGCACTTCTGAATGAGAAGGTATTCTTACTATGTCCAGGCTTCCAAACCATCTCTGTCATTAAAACACTTTAAAAGCCAACATGGGTTGAAGGCTTGATTTTATAGCTTTGAAAACTGAAAATAGGTGTTTCTATGGCAGCCAAGGGATCTCCCAGGGTCAGCATCTCTGCTCTGTCTACTGAGAGTCCCTAACAAAGCCACTGATGGCGCTGAGATGTATCTGAAGGTTGGTAACTTTCTCATCATTCCAAGAGGAAACTGTGAACAGGGCACTCTGTGTGTCTCTGAGGGGGTCCTTGATCTTTTCAGACCATGGCTACGTACAAACACACAGCTCATTCCCTCCCAAAAGGTGGGAAGCTGAGAAGGTTGACTAATGGGGTAACAAGTCAGTGAGTGGGCTTGCATCTCCGTGTTCTCTCCTGGGCTCACCACCATGCACACAGCCCCCGTACCCAGCTCCCGTGTTCATGTGCCTAAACCAGAAAGAGGGGAAAGGGCAGAAGAGCCGCTAGAAAAGACAGCAGTGTGCCAGGTGATCAGTCTATCATGCAGCCCCTGCCTGCATCAAGACATGAGGAAGTTGCCATTTTTAAAATGTCAGGAGCACCAACAATGCATGTCTTCATTGGCACACTCCCCTGGACAGCTCTTGAAAGCTTCCATCATGAGCTTTTCCATGGAAGGTACGTATTGGAAGACGGCCTCCTGAGCAGATGTGTGTGAGCAGACTTGAGACGAGCTCGTGGGAGGTGAAGGGCAGCATGCGTGAAGTGCAGTGACGCATGCCTCTGTCCCAGCATTTGAGTTGTAGAGGCAGGGCGGTCAGTAGTTTAAAGTCATCTTTGGCTACAAAGTGAGTGGACCAGCCCCGGGGTACATGAGATCCTGTGTCAGAGCTGCTGGTCGTGAGACCTCATCTCAAATGGCTCCCTTTGTTCTTACTCTAATTGAAATCAGAATTGAATCGCATTCCCCAGTCCAAGGAGTATTACTGTGACCTGTAGAGACTGAGAGTGTTTTATGTACAAAGTGACTTCTTAAGTGATTTAAGTTACTCTGGTGGTTTTCATAAGCCAGGTCACTAGCATCCACACGCGGCGGGGCTTGGCTGGAAGCAGCAGGCCTGGCCCTGGTGTATGTCTGTATTTTGAACCTGCCCCTCTAAAGCCCAACTCTTCAATCCCTGCTGGAGAGTAGACACAAGGAAGTCCTTTGGCGGAGGACCTGCGGAGCTCTGGGAGCATAGTGCTCCAAGCAGGAAAGATACTGCCGCCACATATGGACACATAAACGGGCTTTCCTAACCTCATGTTAGAGTTCCAAGGGAACAGCTCCCGCTGGCTCCCCAAAGCTTACAAGGACCACTCATGTCTGTCAAGGGTCAGTGTCACACTCTAGGAGAACCCTACATGTATGGAAGGATGTCACACAACCACAATGGCCTTAGTCCTGGTTGAACTAGCCCTCTGGGGAGGTGATATGTCCTCTACTTCCTAGGTCTTCATGATTCAAGCCTAGAAAATGAGAAGAAAAGCTTGGGAGCCCCTCTCTCCCTTTTAGTGAACCAGCCCTGCAGGCAGTTCCTGCCAGGCTCTGGAAAGTTTTCCCTCCTTTGCCATCTCCAGAGTAAAGGGTGGAGACATCTCTAAAGTTCTAACATGATCTGGACCTGGTGGTGGACCCGGAATCTCAGGCTACAAGTACAAGTACAAGGTGCTTGATTAAGCTAGTCAATTTAGGATTCCGTCGAAGACTATAAAGAACAGGGAGCTTGACTAAAGTGTGTGAGGCCCTAGGCTCAATCTCCACTACTGAGGGAAAACAAGACAACTTCCCAGCACACCCCAAAATGTCAGGAGCACCAGAAGTGCATATCTTGGTTGGCACTGGGCTCACAGCAAGGAGAACCGCCTAACCTCAAGTTCTTGGACCTGGAGGAGTTGCACAGTGAGTCCTCGGTGTCTCATGTGAGCACCAGACATGGGGCCTCAGCTGGTTAAAACAGCCAACCCCTGGAGAACTGGTGTCTCCTTTTGCTCCTTGATACCCTCTATATGTTGGTGTGAGATTCTCCCAGTGAGAACTGCACCTCAGGTCTTGGTGTGCTCTGTGGAAGTCAGCCTTCCCTAGACCGCCCTCAGAGCCAGCTGCACTGTTCCGAAGACCGCAATATCCGCCATTCATTCTGGCCTGGCCCCTGACCTCATTCCTCATCACTTTGCATGGCCCTTTACCAACAAGCCCACCACACGTGGAAATGCCAGGCAGGAGAAGGCGCTAGTAAAGTGTGTATTTTTATGACTGTCAATGCCATTTGTATTAGCAAAACCAGTCCCTTCTGGGCTTTGTTTCTAACGATCGTGCACAGATCTATGGGCATATAAATGTTAACACTCAGGCCCGAGCCGAGATTCTTTGGAAATGGCTTGTGGTTGACATTTACACTGGGCAATTTTTCACTGTCTCGGTGCTCTGCTTTTCTAGAAAGAGCTACAGACAAGTCCTCATACCTGACTGGGGTAGGTGTAGGGCTGGCCTAGGGGATGGAGCCGCGGCAGCTCTGCTTAGCTGTCCTCTCCTGGGGACCAGAGGTTGCTGTTAAGCTATAAACAGCTGGGTTGGGGGTCAGCCTGGCTGCTTGGGAGGGAGCCCAGACGTTTATCCAGTGTCATGGCTCTGTCGATAGAGGGACAGATGGTCCTCCCAGAATTCATGTGCTTGAACTGCGCCAGCTGTGCAGGGCAGATGGCACCAGTGCCACAGGTGCTTGCCACAGCACCTTCCTGTTAGGCTGGCACATCGTGCCTGTTACCTCCAGTCTGACCCCAGGGGATAAGCACCAGTGGGTGGAGCTGCCCGGGGCTCACATCTGCTGGGTGGGGAAGTGGTGCTCAGACCCTCCATTACAGTGGGGCCTCTTCTCAAGAGGTGTAATATGAGTTCCAACAAGTTCATACTGCTGTATGCCACCTGCTGCCAGAACTCGCCGGAAAAACCACGTGGGTGTAGATGCCCCACTGCACAGGCTTCTCCAGCCCTGACCACCCAGCCTGGCTTTGTCCGCAAGATTCTGCCCTTCCTTTCGGTCTGGCTGCTTTCATCTTCAACAGTGCAGAGCTGGAGTTTGTTTCTTTCTGTTACTAAGCACTGGAGTGTCACCTTTTGTCTGCTCACCGGCTGATAGATACTTAGGCTGTCTCAAGTTTGGGGCAATTGTGAAGAAAATCAATAGATATTTGTACACAGATTTTTCTGTGGACACAGAGATAAGTGTCTCCTGGGACCTGATCAGGCTGGACTGGCTGGTCAGTGATGTCAAGAATTCCTGTCTCCACCTCCCCAGCACGAGGACCACAGGCACACGCTGTGCCTGGCTGTGCTGTGCGGGTGCTGGAGCTTTGTGGAGCTTTAACCACTGAGATAGCTACCTAGGCCCTCGGTTTCCTGGGTGCTGGATTCCACTCAGCCTGTAGATCAGCTGGCATTTCTCTTAGATAAATGCATAAGAAATGCATGTGGTAGGAGTACACTTCATTAAAAAAAAACATTGGGCTGGAGAAATGGCTCAGAGGTTAAGAGCACTGGCTACTCTTTCCAGAGGTCCTGAGTTCAATTCCTAGCAACCACATGGTGGCTCACAACAATCTGTAATGAGATCTGGTGCCCTCTTCTGGCCTGCAAACATACCTACAAACAGAACACTGTATACATGATAAATAAATCTTTAAACAAAACAAAATATTGTCACCTCCTCAGACGTGAACCACAGATGACAAAACAGGAAGTGCCCAGCACTGCCATAGAGCATTGGATCTGCAGACTAGAACAAGGAAGCACCTTGTACTTGGTGGGACACAGAGCAGCAGGACTCAGCACTGCTAGGGCACGAGCAGGCAGGTGGCAGGGACTTAGAAAACAAAACACACCTTTTATCCCAGCACTTAGGAGGTGGAGGCAGGCAGATCTCTTGAGTTTGTGGCCAGCCTGCTCTACACATAAAGTTCCCAAACAGCCAGAGCTGTTACACAAAGAAACCTTGTCTTCAAAAACCAGAAGCAAGGGACAAAAAAGAGGCATGACACACACACAAAAACCAACTGATAAAATTGGCCATTACAAGGCAAAACAGATCTTCAAATTTCCTGCTTCATGGGAAAGTCTGCTGGATACTATGGACCTGTCGGCTGAAGATGGATGCCCCAACACTACAAAAGACCTTTGGGTGACGGTCCAGGCAACAAGATGTCTCTGTCAATTCTAGAATTTTGGAAGTTGCTTACAATATACTTCCTGTTTACTTAGGTAATATTGTTATATCCTTTTGGATATAATTAAACGCAGTTTTAGTTTTCCTTAATTGTAATAAAAGGTAAATCATATATAAAACTTTAGACTTGGCCGGGCGATGGTGGCCAGACGCCTTTAATCCCAGCACTTGGGAGGCAGAGGCAGGCGGATCTCTGTGAGTTCGAGACCAGCCTGGTCTACAGAGCTAGTTCCAGGACAGGCTCCAAAGCTGCAGAGAAACCCTGTCTCGAAAAAACAAAATAAATAAATAAATAAAATAAAACTTTAGACTCACAAAATAAAATATTTTCTTTTTGTCAAATACAAATAGACTAAATATTGTAACTAATTCTTGCTTGATACCTGTTTTATTATATGTAATTTTACTATGTTAAAACCCTACTTTTTCTTTAGACAGAAAGGAGGAGATGATGTGAGATACCCTTCTGTATATGTGTTGCTTTTATATGAATAATGCGGCTTTGGCCTATGGCAGGGCAGAATATAGCCAGGCTTGAAGAGATATAGAGAGTAGGCAGAGTCAGAGAGACACCATGGAGCTGCTGAAGGAGCCAGATGCCATGTAGCAGCTCAACAAGGAAGAGGTAATAAACCATGAGCCTTGTGGTAAGATGCGAAATAATATAAATGGGTTAATTTAAGATATAAGAGCTAGCTAGAAATACGCTTGAGCCATTGGCCAAACAGTACTGTAATTAAGATAGTTTCTGTGTGATTGTTCGGGTCTGGGTGTCTCCGTCTACATGCTGGTGTGATTGTTCGGGTCTGGGTGTCTCCGTCTACATGCTGGTGTGGTTGTTCGGGTCTGGGTGTCTCCGTCTACATGCTGGTGTGATTGTTCGGGTCTGGGTGTCTCCGTCTACATGCTGGTGTGGTCTACTGTACCCATGTGACAGCACCGCAAGGCAGGACCTGTGAGGTGAGGAGGCCATGAGGGTGCTTCCTCATGCACTGGACTGAGCCCTTATGAAAAGCAGCGTCCTTCCATATTCCCTTAGCGTGTCCTGGCATCTTCCACTCTGTAAGAACACGTGTGTCTCTGCTGAGACACCCAACTGCTCTGCCCTGTCCTCAGTTTTCTGCTGGGACCAGAAGTGTTCATTTGGAGGTGCACAGTGTCACCTGCTGCTGAGTGAACCCTGTGTACACTGCTGACTTCTAGGACTATGAATGGCGGGGAACAGGTTTACTGCTTCCAACAGACCCACCTCTGGAAGGTGCAGCCTGGGAGGTAGGGGTGTAGGGGGCAGGGCAGTGTGAACTATCTGTACTTTCTGCTCAGTTCTCTTATGAACCTAAAATTATTCTGAAGAATTATGTCTATTAATAAAACAAATGAAAAAAAGTCACACCTGCCAAAGTCAGCTCCCCAGGGCGATGCCATTCTGCACTAGTACTCAAGACCCCTGCCCTTGGTACAGCCTGTTCTTGAAGGTGAGCTTTCGTCTATACTTCTTTGTAAATAAGGACATGGACATCCCTTCAGGTACCTTTGCCCTCTGGAAAAACTTCCCTCCCAGGTAAAGTGCCTCGGCATCCCGGTGCCACTTTGTTGTGTTCAGGGCTGTCTGTGTGTCAGCATTCTCTCTCGCCATTAAAGGCTCATAGGGTTTCTGGGTTGTTTTGTTGTTTCTGTTTAAAAATGCTGAAGATCACTCAGCCCCTGGGTCACATCCCCCGTTTGCTAGAATTGACAGAAGACGACATAGAAACCATCCACAGTGCAGTCCACAGAGGCCGGGGCCAGGTTGGCCACTGCAGCCTGCCCAGCGTCTCTCCCAGTGTCCTCTTGAACTTTTTTTTTTTAAATATTTATTTATTATGAATACAATGTTGTGTCTGTGTGTATGCCTGCTGGCCAGAAGAGGGCACCAGACCTCATTACAGATGGTTGTGAGCCACCATGTGGTTGCTGGGAATTGAACTCAGGACCTTTGGAAGAGCAGGCACTGCTCTTAAACCTCTGAGCCATCTCTCCAGCCCCCCTCTTGAACTTTTACACGGGTTCTAGTACAGTCTCGCACATCCCAGGGGCCATATTTGTGAGTTGCAGTGCAGGGACCCAGCATCTTTGTGGGCTGCCTGCAGCTGCCTTCTCAGTGCCCTCAAGTGGAGTCTCCACCATAGCTGGTGCATGGAAAGCATGGCAGACGCCATTCCAAGTGTGTGTCTGTGTGTGTGCAGAGCCACACTCTTCCTGAGCCACCCCAAGGCTCCTCGTGTGTGTGTGTGTGTGTGTGTGTGTGTGCAGAACCACACTCTTCCTGAGCCACCCCAAGGCTCCTGGTGTCTGTGTGTCTGTGTGTGTGTGTGTCTGTGTGTGTGCAGAGCCACACTCTTCCTGAGCCACCCCAAGGCTCCTGGTGTGTGTGTGTCTGTGTGTGTGTGTGTCTGTGTGTGTGCAGAGCCACACTCTTCCTGAGCCACCCCAAGGCTCCTGGTGTGTGTGTGTGTGTGTGCAGAGCCACACTCCTCCTGAGCCACCCCAAGGCTCCTGGTGTGTGTGTGTATGTGTGCAGAGCCACACTCCTCCTGAGCCACCCCAAGGCTCCTGGTGTGTGTGTGTCTGCGTGTGTGCAGAGCCACACTCCTCCTGAGCCACCCCAAGGCTCCTGGTATGTTTGTGTATGTGTGCAGAGCCACACTCCTCCTGAGCCACCCCAAGGCTCCTGGTGTGTGTGTGTGTGTGTGTGTGCAGAGCCACTCTTCCTGAGCCACCCCAAGGCTTCTGGTGTCTGTGTGTGTGTGTGTGTGTGTGTAGAACCACACTCCTCCTGAGCCACCCCAAAGCTCCTGGATCCCAATACCCTCCACATTCATGACCTGGAGGAAGCCCAAATCTGGTTTTGAAATGCCAGTTCCTCGTGACTACCAGTGGCAACTTTGACATATGGCTTTGAACAAGGTGACATTTACTTGCTGCCACTTGCCTGGAAGGCAGGTTAGATTGTCTTCTACTTCTCTTTTCCAGTCTCATGGCCCTGTAGTGTCAGCAAGCCTGTGTTTGCCTCATTCCCCCATTCTGATCTCTAGAAACGCAGATTCTTAGAAATGAAGGGGTCTGTCTCAAGGTGTATGGTAGCACAGCACCCCACCACACACACACACACACACACACACACACACACACACACACGAGCTGTCAGCTCCAGGCAAGTTTTGTTTATGTAGGCTTTAAAGAGCACTGGCTGCTCTTCCAGGAGTCCAGTAAGGTTCCCAGCACCCACATAGTGGCTCACAACTGTTAGCAACTCCAGTTCTTGAGAATCCTAGATACACTCTTCTGGGCTTCACTTGGCATGTGAGTGGTTTATACATACATGCAGGCAAAAACACTCATACACAAAATAGATTTGGCCATGTGACTCCGTGGCGAAGCCCTGCTAGGTGTGCATGAGCCCTGGCAGCAGACAAAACTCACCCTTCAATTTATGAACATAACATCTTAATGAAATGACAGTTATATTTTCCAAGCTGTCCCTCCAAGTCAAATCTTTTAATTAAAAATAATTTTTTAAAAATTTTAGGGGGCTGGAGAGATGGCTCAGTGGTTAAGAGCATTGCCTGCTCTTCCAAAGGTCCTGAGTTCAATTCCCGACAACCATATGGTGGCTCACAACCATCTGGAATGAGGTCTGGTGCCCTCTTCTGGCCTGCAGACATAATACAGACAGAATATTATATACATAATAAATAAATAAATATTTTTAAAAAATTTTATGTGTTTTTTTCTGGATGCATGTCTGTAAAATGTGTGTACCTGGCGCCCACAGAGGCCAGAAGAGGGCATCGGAGCCCATGGAACTGGAGTCACAGACAGCTGTGAGCTGCCATGTAGGTGCTAGAAATGGGACCCTGGAAGAGCAGCCAGGGCTTTAAACCACAGAACCATTTCTCCAGCCCCAATTAAATCTTTTAAGCTGGTCTTGAACGCTTGGCAGTTTTCCAGCCTCAGCCTTTTGAGGGCTGGCATGAACGACCACACCTGGCTAAACAAGGATTTTTTTCTTTTAGTAAAAGATGGAAACTGGGCCAGTGAGATGAGTCAGCAGGAAAAACTGTTTACTGGGCGGGCCTGACAACCCAAGTTTGCTCACAGGAACCCCCAGTGGAAAGAGAACCAAACACTGAAAGCTGTGCTTAAAGTGCCACAGGGACTGAGTCCAACAAAAAGATGACAGATGCAAAGGTGTAGAACTTAGCGCATCAGAATGCCAGACAGGAATTAAAATGAGCATAAATACGTCTTAGAGACAGGTCTCCCTCTAGCTCCGGCTGGCCTGGAACACATCTGTCTCTGCATCGGCATCGGACTAGTATTGTTAAGGGAAAAAAGCACTTTTGCCCGTTTTTCAGAAAAAGCTAAGGACCCCACGTGTTTCACACACCCGCAGATGGTAAACTGTGAAGCAGGCCTTGGGAAGCCAGGGATTCAGCACTGCTCATCCCTAGAGAGGGATGGCGGACGGGCCTGGGGCCACCCGGTGGGAACTACTGCTCACGCCCTCAAAACTGTCAGAGATGCAGCAAAGTGGTGCGTAAGAGGAAAAACGTGAGGACCTCCGCCCTCATGGAAGGCAGCTGCACCCACCTGGCTAGCTCCGTGCAGCCCCTAGACCCTCGGTGGTTCGTGAGCTCGCTCTTGCAGACGAGCAACCCCCACGCTACCTTCCCGCCGCCCTCTGCCCCGGGCAGCCTCCTGTACTTTGCTGTGAGGCATGTCAAGTTAGCACAAAGTTACACGAAGCTGACACTCTGCAGCTCCCGCGTCAGACTACCTCCTACCTTTTCAACCACGTGACTTATGTCTCAGGCCCTGACACCTAGCTCACCGAATAATGCAGGTCAGACAGGCTGTCTTCCTGCGGGTGTGCAGAGCGGGCTCCAGTCAGAACCGAGAGGGTGACCGCCGGCGGACACCGGTCCCCGGGTGCACGTCAACCAGCTCAGCCCGACGGGCACGTCTGTGGACCGCCCGGGCCTCGACCCTGCAGCGCCGCCCCGCGGGGACCTCTGCGAGTCGGCGGAGGCCGTATCGTCGTTTCCGGCGCCGCCGCCAGGGGCCGCCGCCGCTCCGCTATGACACAGCAACAATAGAGGCCGCTCTGGCCCGCGCTTCCGCCGGAACAGGCCGCCGGCGCGGAGGCGGGCCGGACGCGATGGACGGCCGTGAGAGCCAATCGGGATTAGGCCAGGGTCCGCCGCGCGGCTGACGGAACTCAATCGGCGGCGGGGCGGGCCGAGCGCGGGCTTCCGGCGAGGCCCGGCAGGCGCCGAGAAGGAAGAGCGATCCCGGACGGCGCCCCTAAGGCCGAGTGTGAGCACAGCCAGGTAGGGGCCCAGCGGCGGCGAGGTGGGAGCGCGCGCGGCCGGGCGGCGGGAGGACGGGACGCGGCAGCAGCGTGGGGCCGAGGCAGCCTGGGCCGGCCGCCGGTGCCCCAGACGCCCGGGCCGGACGCGGCGAGGTCTCCGCGCGGGCGGGCAGTGACGTCGCGGGAGCGGGGAGCCCGCGGGGCTGCGCTCGGTCCCGCGCACACCCCCTGGCCTGGCTCGGCCTGGCGCGCTCCGACTCCCGGGGAGCGGCGAGGCTGGCCAGCGTTTGGGTGGGACATTGCGCACGCGACGCCGCACGACGGGCCTCGCTCTGCTTTTTCAGGATGACGACTTCAGGCGCTCTGTTCCCAAGCCTGGTGCCCGGCTCTCGGGGATCCTCCACCAAGTATCTGGTGGAGTTCCGGGCAGGAAAAATGTCATTAAAAGGAACTACGGTCACCCCAGATAAACGGAAAGGGCTCGTGTACATCCAGCAGACGGACGACTCCCTCATTCACTTCTGTTGGAAAGACAGGACCTCTGGGACCGTGGAGGATGACTTGATCATCTTTCCCGATGACTGTGAGTTCAAGCGGGTACCTCAGTGCCCCAGCGGGAGGGTCTACGTGCTCAAGTTTAAGGCGGGGTCCAAGAGGCTCTTCTTTTGGATGCAGGAGCCCACGACTGACCAAGATGAAGAGCATTGTCGGAAAGTCAATGAGTGTCTGAACAACCCCCCCATGCCTGGAGCACTGGGTGCAAGTGGGAGTGGTGGCCACGAGCTCTCGGCACTGGGCGGTGAGGGTGGCCTGCAGAGCCTGTTGGGGAACATGAGTCATAGCCAGCTCATGCAGCTCATCGGACCAGCCGGCCTTGGAGGACTGGGTGGGCTTGGAGCCCTCACTGGACCAGGCCTGGCCAGCTTGCTGGGGAGCAGCGGGCCTCCGGCAAGCAGCTCTTCGTCCAGCTCCCGGAGCCAGTCGGCAGCCGTCACCCCATCCTCCACCACCTCTTCCGCTCGCGCCACCCCAGCCCCTTCTGCCCCAGCAGCTGCCTCGGCGACCAGCCCAAGCCCCGCACCCAGCTCAGGTAATGGAACCAGCACAGCAGCCAGCCCGACCCAGCCCATCCAGCTGAGCGACCTCCAGAGCTTTCTGGCCACCATGAATGTGCCCGCAGGGCCAGG